AGCCACTGAAATTTATGGGATGTATCCCTTTGAGTTGATGGTCACAGGAGCCATCATCACTCTAGCTGAGGGGTGTTGTTCAACAGTTAGTTTTGGACCCCTCTCTACCCTGGTTTTTTTGTTTAGCTGAGTCAGCGGTGCAGTGTCTCCCTGTAGGCAGAGCCAGGAAAAAGTGGCTAAAAGCATCAGGTGAGTTGTTTTTCCTGGCAAGTCAGATTTGCACTGGGGCAAAACCACGAACAATTTCATGGTTAGGCAATATATTAAAATATTCAAGGTAGAACTTCCTACATGATTGTAGTTTGTTACACACACACCTTATCAGCACATTTGACATATCCAGCTATGCCCACACTGGATATTCCTGGAAAAAAAAAAAAACAAACATAACTTTTCAAGTGATCCTCCCAAATACCTCATTTCTTTTCAGCCTGTACTTATTTCTGTTTACAAATATATCCCTTCCAGTAAGATTAATGATTGTGTCAGTTTTGAGACCATGTTTAGTAAAGGGTTGAACATTTCACCCAAACCAGAAATACCAGCTTAACCTTTGGGGTTTTTTTTTGTACTTCATGGAAATTGAGCACAAGTAATAGAACTAACTGCTGCTACACATCCCAGGGAATCAAAGGGGTCATGTTCTCCTGCCCTCGAAAAGACAGGACCTTCTAACCCTCCTGGTTAAATATCAGCTGCTGACTTTGGGTTGGACACTTTTCTTCCCAAAATTGAAGACTCCTATATTCTGCATCTTGAGGCTTTTCTGCTTGCTATCATGCTGCATTCTTAATAGCACACTATACAGATCCCTTCTCCAGCCTTGCCCTTATCCTCATGTGCCTTGTGTGCCGTAGGCGGGCTTTATCCTCTCCCCAAAGTGTGAGATAGAAAAAGGAAGAACGGTGACACGATTGCAGGAATGTGTTGCTGCCTTTCTTTTTGCATCTTCCCCAGCACCCTGACAGATTGCTTAGCTAGAATCCATATGCTTTCCTTTTCAGAAAAAAACTCGTGCTCAGTGGAGACCTACAGCTTCGAAATCATTAAGGGTCATGATACTGCAGAAGAAAAACTGGTTTCTGTGCATAGTCTTGACTTGTATGGTTTGAACTTGGTACTTGCTAAGGTTCCTGGCATACATCTAGCTGAGTTTATATAAGATGACCTCAGCTGCCCTTTAGAACCTTCCCTGTCTCCTGTGCCTCAGTTTACATCTCTGCAAAAGAACAGCATAGAATCTTAAACCGAGCAAAAATCATCACAATGCCCTTCCATGAGCACGGAGACCTTCCACTAGACCAAGTTAGTCCAAGCCCCATCCAACCTGACCTTGAACACTTCCGGGGATGGGGCAGCCATAACTTCTCTTGGCAAACTGTGCAAAATATTGCACAGTTAAACCTCAGAGTTGTGTTGTGCCACATCCTGCATGTAGGTGGGTAACAGCAGCTGCCAGTCAGCCTCTGAGAGCAGAGCACCATATGATTTCTCAGTGAACAAAACATTTAATACAAACACAACACTTTCCAGATATTATGAAGAGTTTTCCTGAACAACTCTCTTCAAACAGAACTATTAGGCAGTGAAGTCTGTTTGCTGATCTTTATGCAGATCTTCCCACTTCCACTTCACTATAAGGTTTTGACTAAAATATTTATACTTTTCTGCTTTGGTATACATCCTACTCCAATCCTACGGGAAGGATTTCTCAGCCTGAAGAGAGAAATGACAAAATGTGTGTGTGGTGCTTGGTTCACCTACACTGGCTTTCTGGGCTTTGATAATATCTATACAGTCCTCACTTGAGGGTGCAGAGCCTCTTCGGTATGTCAAAGCTCTTCGCAGGTCTCATGAGCAACTTGTAAGCCAGCATTTTGCTTCTTTGAAAGACCTCATGTGACAGTGTAGCATCTTGGGGTGTAGACCTCCTGCCCAGCACCCTCCTGGTTCCAACAGCACCTTCATCTTCCATATGTACCATTTCTGCCCCCCCAGATCCATCCTTTGTAGCTGAACACAAAATGCTTGGAAATTGCAAATGACCTTCCTGGAAGTGCTGCGGCTGCTCTTCTGTAATGTCACCCTCCATGTAGCAGCTTTTCCAGGGTCTATAGCCTTGTCCTCTTCTGACCTTAGCCTTGTTGTGCATTAGCTTATCCCATTTGCATTGGCACTGATTTCAGTGGAATTCGGAGCAGTTCTGATGAAGCATTCAAGTTTCCATCCTCACCCTTTTTCAAGGTCATCTTTTAATATCATAGACAGGATGTGAAAATATGTGATCTTATATTCATCCTCCTTTTGAGTATTATCCTTCTTTTGCTTTTATCCAAGTGGGTTTTTTTCCCTGTAGATACAGTAAATTATGAGTTATATTTATTGTGTGTGTCATTGGGGAGTACTAGGGGCCTAGCTTCGGTTTCTTGAAGTACTACAGAATGAGTATCCATTATCTTTAAATAAACTTTAAGGGTTTTCTTGATGAGTAATTTGCTCCATAAGATTTTCTTTTTTAAACTCCGATGAAATATATTTATAGAGCAGTGTTTCAATTCCTAATATTTATAGGACACTTACAGTGGACATTGACCATCTTCAGCAGTCCACATGCCATTTATTTCCAGTGGCATTGCAGGGGTAGTTGTGTTTGTTTTCTAAGAAAATATTTTTAGTTTTATCATCTAAAGGGAGTTTTAATTTGTTTTTATGGTATAAGTGTTTACTGAGTTGATGAGAAGCAGTGAAATCTTTGAATAGTTGGGAATTAATCAGACTTCTCCTCTTTTACTTCTAAGTTTGAGTTTTTTGAGTTGAATCTATATTTAAAAAATCATTACCTTACATATTTTTTGCTTAAAATTGGAATTTGATCTGACCAAATGTGAAATTGGCAACACAATTAATTACATTAAAAATGTATATGTTAAAGACCTGCAGTGTCTTTGTTTAACATTCTGATCACATTCAGAATTTTTACCACTATATCGACTATTTAATAACTGTTTTCACAACTCTAACATATCTTGTAGGGAGAGTTATTCAACAAAAATGAAAATCTTTAGAAATTTAAATGCACCAATCACTCACTGCTCTGCTCAGAAGCTGGCAGTGTGGTTCCAGTTTAACATCCTCTTTTAGACCTACCTGATTCTGCTCATTGATGCTTCCTGCAGTACCCACCTGTGATTTGCCTGGTTATCTCTTTAAGCTGGATGAGCAACTGCTATTTTATAAAATGTGCTCCCATACCCTAAAGCAATAAGGTTTGGGCTATTCTGCTATTAGAACAGTAATAGGTAGCTAAATGCTATGCAACCCGTTTAGAAAAAGAAACAAAGAAACGCCCAGCCTGACTTTTTAGTCCAGGTTCTTTCCCTCAAAAAAAAAAAAAGGCATTTCAGTGAAAAGAGATGATGTCTGGGATTAGTGGTGGAAGGGGAAAAAATCCTGACTGTTGGAACCATTTAGTGATTCAGTTCTTTGATAGGTTACAAAAAATATTATATTAATTCTTTGAACTGTGTAAGCCATGAGTAGGGCTTGGAAAATAAGGCTCTATGATACCAATGCGCAGGATTTTAATGAAAATAAAATATCTAAAATGTACAGCTGTATCACATAACTCATAGAAACCAAGTCTGTATTGCTCCACTCTAATTTAATTTTCTTATCTCTTTACATTCACTTTCTCTTGCTCCTGGCTCTCACCTTTGATGTCATTTATATCATGGACTTTGTTCATCACAGACACCTACTAAATACGTACCCGTCTGCCTAAGCTGAGGTGGGAACCAGCTCTTCTGAGGTGGCTTAAATATCTGCTGGTCTGTTGCTGAATGGTGCATGAAAAAAAAAGGGTGTGACCATCTTTTTATTTCTTGCTTATTCTTCTTTGCAACCACTGAACACAGCTCTGATCTGTGCCTTTTGAAGCAAAACACTGGGAGGTTTCAGGCAACCTTCTGTGACCAGTAAACTGCATAGTTTGGAGGTAAAGACTCGGTGGAAAATGCAAAACCATGCGTATTTAGAGGGCCCATTTCTTCTTCTCTGACACTGTAATGGAGTCTACAATTGCCAGTGAAACTATTAAGGAAAAAGCCTGGGTGTCACTGTGGGACGCTCAATTAAAAAAAAATTATAATAAAAAAATTTAATTTAAAAAATTTAATTTAAAAAATTAGACCCTCGTAGCTGCTCATATAGTCCATATAGTGCCAAAAAGCACAGGGGATCTAGAAAGATCTCCTGAAGAGGAGCTCTGAGTTATTGTGGTATTTAAGAAAATAACTCTGTAGTTGTCCCATCAAAAAAAGTGGCTTCAGAACATGGTGAAACTCTAGAAGATCCTTCAAAAATATATTTCTTTGGTTTTTTTTCCTTTGAATTCATAAATAAATTAGGCTTGGGTGTTCAAACTGTATATATAAGGTTTATACCCTTGCAACAAAAATGCATAGGCTTCCATACTAAGAGATCATTAGATCCATAGTTTGGGAAATTTTTAAGGCAAGTCACATATTTGGAAAATAACTATAGTTTAAACCCACCATAAGAAGATTTAACATTAACATGGTATTTTTTTCAGTGCATAACATGATTGTAGAACTATCTAATGTCTTGCTTTTGCTGCAGCACTTGTATAAAAAAGGGAACATTTTCCACGGGAAAATTGGCCCAGTGCTGCGTTTTGGCTATGTAAGATCATGCAGTGCTGGCATTTGAAATAGTGATAATTTTATGCCTAAAAAAATGAGTAATTGTACCACGGAGAACTTCATTCTGATGAAATCCTTAGATCACACTCCGTCATCTGTTTTCCTCACATTCTTTTGTATACGATCATGGGGACATCGCATCTGCAAGCGACACGTTTGCATACGAAGCTGTGTACGTGTGTTTGCACTCCTATAAAATACAAGCAGTATAAAGGCTTCTTTAAAATTTTATAGCTATTTAAAACACAAGCTAATCTTTTCCCACTTTGTTTCTTTCAGAGAGACTGCCACAGAGTTATCTGGAACATTACCAAGGTAAGCAAGTTGCTCTGAACTGCGTCTGTGTGTCAGTGTCTGGAAGGTGCTGAAAGAAGCACGACCTTTTGAGCCAGAACATGATCCTTTTCCTAAGGAAAACTGCTGGGATACTGAGAGCTGGGGCTGCATGCCACAGACACTGAAATACTGGCACAGCCAAACCCACGCAGTTAAAGCAACATGTTGAAGTGGCTTTGAGTCTCAGCACAGTTGTGCTCCTGATGAGAAAAATCCCAGCTGTGGCTTCCTTCCAGTTGTGCAATTATACCCATTGCAGGTGGTTTGGCTTTTGCTTTACATTTCACCTGAGGGATGAGGGGAGGGAAACCTGGAGGTAGGAGGAAGAAACACTGTGATCTTAAGACATTTTCATTTGGAAAGCAGCTTAGACCAGATTCTTCTGTGCTGAGAAAGCTTTTCATAAAATAATAGAACTAGACAAGACTTCCAGGCTGTGAGAGAAGTTTCTGAAGAGAGACCTGCCTACATATTGTCAGAGGGTGCAATAAAATGCTGTAATCATACAGAAAGGTGGAGAGAAGGGAAACACAAAAATCTGATATGGTAACCTGTCACTTAGGAGAGATGCCTGAGATTTAAAAAAAGGTGTTCTCAGTCCACTTGTACCTTCTGTCACCAGTTTTGCTCTCTGAGGTGCAGGGGGTTTTAGTGGGGTCATGGTTTTGGGGGGTTTTGTTACCTTCTGATTAAAAGCAGTGTTGTGGTTCATACAATATATAATGTAAAAGGAATATTTCAACAAGAAAGTCAGTTTTCTTTAAACATGGTAATACATATAAGTTATTTCTGGTTCTAAGGCAGTGAAAAAATACCTACCTTTCTTTAGGATGTGTGTGGTATATACTAGTTGAGTCGATTATATCGATAAGCTGTAAAAATGTATATTTTCACTATATGTGATGTTTTTTCCACTCTGTAAACAATTTGTTCTGTTAGTACAAACTTGTGTGATATATGTAATTAGTTTATTTAATAGATAAATTTGTTTTTATGGCTGTCACTTGATATCCACAGTTGTTCAAGGAAATATGCTGGTGAAATTTTGCCAAGTGTTTGAAGTGCTGACTAGTGATCAGGCCTACCTGACACAAAAGATTTTATTTATCTTTCTTGCAAAATAATTGCAATTCTTCATACTTACCAAAAAAAAAAAAAAGAGATTTAACAGAGTAGCCATGTCCTTGATTAGGAATGTCAACATCAATGCTTAGCTGTATCTTTTACAGATTTTAGTGCTAAAATATTACCAGTTTGACTGCATGCCCCAATTGGGTAGGTATTATAGGACTAATATACTGGAAACATGAAGTTCTTATACTGCAGAAATAAATTCCATTTCAAATTAAAGTTAAAATGAGATACGTAAGTGCTTGAATAAACATCCTGTTTTGTACTTGCCATTAATGATTGTCTAAATGTGCTTTTTGAATTATTACCACAAGGCTTTAATTTCAACTGTAGCAAGATGTCACAAGTAAAAATCAGATTATACCAGCAATGTGCACAAGGGACTGTAATTGTGTTATAAATATTAAACCAAATGATCTTGTCATGATTTAAAACAAATGTTTCCAGCTGGGTGCAGGTTGGCTTGTCCTCCAGCCTTCAGGATTCACCTGTTCCTGCGTCTCTCTAAACAAGCAGTTCTTTGGGGTTTTTAATCTTATGGTGTGATGTACTAATCTAATATTTTTTGTTCTTTCAAACTTAAAGAGAATCACTTTGCTATTATTAATTCATAACAGTGAAATAGTCTAATTTCCCCACCAACACCACATCTTCTTCCACCTTCACCCTGAATCTATGTTACAGCACAGAAAATTCTAGGTGTTGCACCTTGATGAAATTAATAACCACTTTCCCATCATCACTGTGCTTGTTGTATTTTGTGCAATGGGGCAGAGCAAGCCCCCTGTAACTCTAGAAATCCTAAGATAAACAAGATGCCTTTTCTTGGAGCAGTAATGACTCATGGATATATTTGTACCCAGGATTGCTCAAATCTTTTTCAAGCATTTGTAAACCTGGTGAAAGGGGGTTTTCAACTGCAAATGACGTAAGTGTGAACAGATGTGTCTGTACTTGGAATATTTTGTCTGGCTGTCAGGAAAGTTTAGGCACTGGTGGCATGAATTTTTTTTGTTTTCATTAGAAAAATAAAAAAAAAAGAAAATTCTCAAAAACTCCTTCTGAATTTTTCATAGATTAATTAAAGAAGAGGAGTTAGGTACTTGCTCTTTAAAGTCCTGTAATTAGTCAGAACTTACAGAAAAGAATATTGTGAATATTTTTTCATTTTCTATAGTAACCAAGAAAAGTCACATGTGTGCATTTTTTAAAAAAAAGTGACTTGGTCATTGGTGACTTTTTAATATAGTAATTTTCCATTAAATGCTGCTGATGGTTCTTTACTGATTATATTTAAGAGGAAGAAGAGATTACACTACTTCTCCACTGAAATATGTGTAACATTGATAGACAAAAGTAGAAAAATGTGAGTTGGTGGACATCATTTAGAAGGAAAGCTAATAGATTAACTCTGCTTGTAGAAAGATATAAAAATATTCAGCGCAATTATATTGTGTCAGTTCTAATTTACCAGTTATTCCTGACGATTTGGGGAAGCTCAGGCTAGAGAAAGAATTGAAAATTCAAACTTAAAATGTGATAAAGAAGCTTTACAATTTTTATATTAAATGACATTATTATAGCTATGAATGTATATTGTTTTTTCGAAGAAAGGCTTTCTGTGCGCAACAGCACATCAAAGAACAGATCTTCAGAAGGAAAACTTTATAATAATATTAAGTTGTTCATAGCATGACCTATTTAGAGTACTCAGATACTTCTTGTTGTAGACTACATAATTAAATTTTAAATGGAACATGATAAAGAAATTATACTGGTGATCTCTGGAGATTTGAATACCCTATTTGGATCTTTACAAGAGTGTAGCGAAGGCATACTTTTAAAATTTAATAAAGGTCTGGCCTATTTTTTTTCCCTTTTAGATGTTCTATAGCTGCTATTGCAGTTCTATTTCAAACTGTGTTTGTTCTCAACATCTCATAGATGGTACCTGCAATAACAGAGCAGACTAAAAGTATAAGAAGAAATACAATTTAACTTGAAAAAATTCACCATTTAAACATAATACAGAACAATTAATGAATGAAGATAAGCTTCTGAAATCTCGTGGAACATAAGCTTGTAACCACCCTTTCACAGACCATCATGTGAGCTCAGCAGTGAGGGGAGCAGTGAATGAGAACACTGGAGTGCTGGAGCACAGTGGGAAAGCCCTGTGGGCATGAGGGAGATGATGTTTGGAGCTTAAAGGAGAAAATACTCAGCTTCAATATCAAAGGGATGATTTCAGTCTCTAGCCACTTCTGTTTGTTTCTGTGAAAGTTACTTTATATTTAAAGAAGAACAAATATTTTAAATATAGACTAACCACATGGATTATTTATTTGCTTAATACTAGGTTAGTACTAACAGAAGGAAAATCTGGGCTACTTTTCCACTTTTATGTACTGGCTCAATTTTACATTTCACTCGAGGGGGGAGCAAAGTTTAAACAGTCACTTCCTCCTCTAAGCTGTTGGGGGAAAAAAAAAAGGCAAATAATTTGCATATATATTTTTCATGGACAAATTTGTAGAAATATCCCTGCAGCCCCTGCTTAAATCTTAAGCATAACTCAGGGAAACTTGTATTTTGTGGTGAGGACCATCTTAAAATTGTCTTCTAGTATTTTTTTTAGATGTACAAGAGGAAATCTGCAAAGGATACATCGATGTGAAAGCAAACGTGTTAAAAATGAAAATGTCTTTGCCTTGTCCTAGAATTTTAGTAATCTACAAACTTTATGTATTTTAAACCTGTGGTCTGGAGTAGGGTACAAACTATAACTCTCTTGAGATGGGATTTTATTCTCCACCATTCCATAAATTTCTTTAGCAACGTCTAAGTTCCATTTACTGTAGAGACTTCTGTTCTTGGGTGTCTACAGCATTTTGAAAATAGAATTTAAGTACTGAAGTCACTTTAGTACTTTTGAAAAGCGTTAACCTGCAACTTCACCGTTATTGAAATCTAATGCAACTAAGCTTTTATCTGAAGGGAAAAGAAGAATTGACAACCCACCATATGACAAGCAAAATGAAATCTCTTGATCACTAACTGTCAGCAGTCTTTCTAATACCATTGTGTTAGGGAATGATATGTCTTCCAAGAAGCTCAGTACACAAGGCTTTGAATCATTTCTGTCTTGACAGCCTAACACAAGTAACTACTTGTAAGTGCTTGGATGAATTATAAAATCTATGTGGCTCTGTAGAGTGAGTTAATAAAACATCTATGAGCATTTTAATTACTAAAAAGCAGAAAGGAATTTTTCCTGACAGTAACAGGGGCATGGACTAAAGACCAACTTGACATCTCAATTGCTGTCTTCACTGGGTTTGCATGGACAGTGGGAGCTGGGGTTAGCTTCTGTGTTTGCTCTTTTGTTTCCTCCCAGGTGAGATCTTCTGCCAAGCAATTTCTCTCCCCCTGAGAACACCAGGTCATAGCTTTCACCCCTCATGTTTCTTATAATGTGGATGTCCTCCCATGTCACCAGTGCTGCTTTGCCAGTCATGTCAGGCTTGAACACCCATCTGCCTACACCATATGAATGTCTCTGCCAAACTATGACAGAATTTTCCATACCTTCATATGATATTTACTGAAGCTTTATTCTCCCTTAAATAAAGCAGGGATTTGGCATAGACCATTTGTGACCCTCTCTTCTAACACAGAAGTTTTGCTTTCCACCTTCAAATAAATCCCTTCTCAAAACTCACTCTTGTTTAGAGGCACATAAATAATTGGTCAAGAAAACATTACTCATCCTGGATGGCAGGCAGTGCTAGCTGATAACATTAAAATATCTTGAATGTCAAACTATATGCAGCTATCCAGAGCTAGTC